CCAAGCTCCAGCCCCTACTCCAAGCCTGTCTTCAGGGATGCGACAAGCTGTCCAGGAGGAGAGGTTTGGGAGGAGGGAGACTCAAATTTGGAGTACCCAGTCCTACTCTATTCCCGCTTACTGGCAAGTCTCTGCCTCTCAGAGCTTCCAGTTCTGTCTATAAACGGGGTGATAAGCAGTCCCAGCCCTGCATAGCCACAGCTGCCAGGAGGCTTAGAGAGATAAGGGCTCTACAAGTCACCAGGCTCTGCCGAGGCGAGGGTCTGCAATTATGGACTCCTGGGACCCCCACACGCTTCCTGAATGCAGCCATTCACTGAGGAGCTGGGGGGCTCTCCACCCACAGAGCCAAGTAACTGAGCAGTGAAGGACGGTGAACAGAACTTGGCAGGGGCAGAAGTGGGGATGATGTTACCTCGTACGGAAGAAGACAGAGTAGGAAGAGAAAGATGTGCGTGCACCTGCCCATCTTCATGCAGGGCAGAAGGTCTGTGCCCCATGAGCCCTGATCCTACGCACGCCCCCCCATCCCCAGCATACAACCCCAGACCGTGTCTAACCCCTGCAATGGGAGGCCGATTCCAGACCTCTGCGGTTGGTCTGTGTGGAGGCGGACCCCCGCCGACCTCGGTGGCCTGGCTGGCTTCGGGAGACCCAGGAGTCCTGACCCCAAGCCCCGCACTCGAGAAGCGGGCAGGCCACGTGCTTCTCAGGGTCGGCAGGAGCTCAGCCCTTTCTCCTCAGCAGATGGTCTGGGGCCTCTGCAGCAAGGCTAGACTGGGCAGGGCAGGTTCCAGGACTAGAGGTAAGCCTCCCAGCCTGCTAGGCCACTGCACAGGGATACCGGGGTTCACTGAAGGGGACGCTCAGGCAGGAACCTCCACACTCTCTGCCGCCAGATACAGAAGACTCACTGCCTGCTGGCCCCTTCTCCCACAGCAACACACACACACACACACACACACACACACGGAGTAGACCAAAAGCCAGAGGGGGCTACTCACCAGCACTCCCACCAACTCCAAGATTCTGCACCCCATCTTCCCTCTTGAGTTTGCTCCTCACTCACTACCAAGACTGTCTGATGGGCAGGAGGTGCCCAAGGGTTTGACCCATGAGTATCAGATGCACCCAGGGGTCTCTGCTTCAGCCACAGGGTAACTAGTACAGATCCAGCCCTGGGGACACACCTTCTGGATGGCACAGATCTGAGCACAGAGGACATAGACCCTCAGGCCAGTATAGACCTCGGACCAGGCATTTTCAACAGCTCAAGAAAACAGGGGAGTGGATGATGAGGCATTAGAAACAAAGCTACTCGGGGAGGAGGTCAGTGCTCGTGGCCTAGTCGCCACCGCAGGGAGGGGTGGGTCTTTCCCCAGCCACAAGGCTCCCAAGGCAGGCAGACATCCCTTGGCAAGCACAGACCCAGGCGGCCGAGCCTTCACGGAGCCAGGCACTGCCGCACCACCTCGATGCTCCAGTGGCGCAGAGACGCCTGCTAGAGTGGGAGCAGGACCAAAGGGGGCAGGAACACCAGCAGTGCAGGCAGCGGCCCCAGCCCGAACACCACACAGCCCACCCAAGGACACCCTGTACTCCTACAGAGAGGCTCACAACACAGGCTAGGAGTGAGCAAGCAATGACACAGTGGGGCCCAGCTCTGAGATGCTGGCCAGCAGTGGGTGTGCCCAGATGTCAGACCCCCAGTGAGGGCTCCAGATCTTGGAGCCTGGGAAGAGAAATAGCGGTAGGACAGCCTGAGCCTGGCTGCTAACAGCACAAGCACCAGTCCCGGCGGCCAGTCTGCAAGCCAGTCAGTCCACACACCCCCACTTCATTCACACACACTTAGCACGCAGTCTTAGCCCATGCACACGCCAACACGTGTGCGCACACACCTCTTGCTGCACCCACACACACACCCACTCCATGTTACAGAGGACAGTATCCCTGACATAGAAACCTCAGTCACCCCTCCCTTTCCTCTCTCTCACGACCTCCCAAGCCAGAGTGTCCCTGGGACCGAGGTGGAGGGACGGCACCACCGAGAGGGTGCCAGAACAGGGAGGCCTTCGTCTGAGCGCACCAGGGGCCTGGGTGAGAGGTGCTGGGGCAGAGGCGGTGCTGGTGCTGGTTCCGGTGCCACCGGAGCCAGGACGCACACACTCACCTGGAACTGCAGCGGAGGGCTGCATGCTGGCCCGCTTCTTAAAGGGGTATTTGGTCTTGGGCTTGCTGGGGCCAGATGGATAGGATGCCATGGCTGGGGCCACGGCAACGGCGGGGGGGTCTGGGCGGCCCCGGCTGGGGCCCGGCTCTGCCACATCCAACCTCTTCCTCCGCCCCGCCCCCAGCGGGAGTGACTGATGCAGGAAGCAGCAGCCCCGCAGGCGGAAGAGGCCCTGGCCACGATTTCTGAGGTTGTCTAGGCAACCTAGGGGAGTGGGGCCTCCATCCCTGCCCCTTATCCCTCCCCTCCTTCCTCAGTGCCTGGAGTGACGTGCTGATGGTGGATAGGTCCGGCGGGGGCGGAGGGGGGTACCACAGAAAACAAGGCGGGGGAGGGCTAGCCCCCCATCTCTCCACTAACCTCCCCCCCTCACTTCTTGCCTGGGCTCCAGAGCAGAGGAGCCAAAGTCCAGGTTTGCTAGCCCAGTCAGCCTGGAGAAAAATAATAAACAGGGACCCAGCCTGGGCTCCCGGAGCTCGGAACGCACTCCTCTCAGGCAGGCTGCGTGAACCCCCGGCGCCTCTGGGGCCGAACCCCTTTTTTTCTTTCTCTATCTGACCCCCCGCCCCACGAGTAGCCCAGTTCTAGGAGGAGTCCCAACCCAGGAGGGAGGGGCCTGTCCTGGGAAAATTCCACGTCCCACTGAAGCTACCTCGCAGGAAGGCAGGGAGACCAGGGCAGGGCTTGCTGGGCTCTGGGAAGGAGCACCCCTCCCTGCCTTTTCCCTCCGACCCCGCACTCGGGCCCGGCCCCGGCCTCCAGGGAGAGCTGGCCGCCTTCCCGACGTCCCGCAGGTCGTGCGGAAGCCCTCACCGTCTTGGCATCCAGACCACAGTACTTCTGTGCCCAGAGACCCTGCCCCAACACACGCGCACTCGCTCACCTGAGGCCATGCTGCCGAGTCCGAGGGTACCAGAAGGCGGCCCACGAGGGTCTACGCAGCGGGGACCAGGGATCGCGAGGGAGAGGAGAGGGGCTGGGGCCCAGACCCGGCCAAGTCACTACAAGGGCCCCTGCCCTGGCACTGAGATGAGGAAGTAGGCGGGTTTTTTTTAAATTGCCAGCTGGCTGGAGGCGGACCCCCGCCGACCTCGGTGGCCTGGCTGGCTTCGGGAGACCCAGGAGTCCGGACCCCAAGCCCCGCACTCGAGAAGCGGGCAGGCCACGTGCTTCTCAGAGAGCGGGACCCGGAACTCGTCAGGGCTTCTCTCAACCCTCCCTGAGCATTCGGAGTCGGACTCCGGTGGCAGGGCCGTAGGAGAGCCGGCCCCGCCCCCGCCATTTTTCCTGTGCCCGCGCGCCACGTGGGCGGACACCACCGCGCAGCTGTCCTGGCCTGGCCCTGGGTCTTGGGCAAGGTCTGTGCGTCAGCTTCCTCATCAGTAGGATGGGATGGGGTAATGACAGTACCGCCCTCAAAGGGTTATTGTACAGTGCCTGGCACAAAGTCAGGGCCTAATAAAAGACAGCTGTTATTATTGTCCCAGGATTCGTTTTAAGCCGAAACCGTGTACCCGCATTTTAGGCATTCTCATCCAGGTCGTCTGTTTTCTTCTGGCAGACACAGGTAGGAAGGGTGTGTCCCGCAATTCGGGCTCCCCTCCCACATTAATTTCTATATCTGGTGAGAGCTTAAACTCTGCAGCCAAATCCAGACTTCTCCACCTACTTCCTGACATTGGACAGATTAACTCCACTGTGCTTCTATTTTGGCTAGAAGATGAACGTAAAAATTTCTGCTTTATACAATGGGGGTGAAGATAGCGACCTAATACAAGTTAAGTACTTAGAACTGAATCTGGCCTGTCCTCACTGCTCCTTGAATATTTTCAGAGCTTTGCTCTTGGCCTTGGCTCCCTGTTGAGCCCACAGGCTGAATCGCCCTGCAGCATATCCAGAAATGGAACTGTGCTGTTTAGGGCACTGTAGACCTGCTAGCCACCCCGGATCCCTGCTCCCACCGGGCAGAGAATCCTTCCTTAAAGGGAATTAGTGAAGGGAAGTCCCTAAAACTTCACTGAATATGTCCGAGTCTATTTTCCCTTTTGTGGGAGCCCTTTGTCCCCCACACCCAGTTGTGCTAATGCGGTTTGTCCAGCTCCTCCTAGTTCTCCCCACACCCACAGCCAGTGCCTTTCCAAACTCTCCCTCCCTTTTCTCTCCCCCCACTGGACCCTGAACCGCATCTGGCGTCAACTCCATTGATCCCTTGTGTCCGTTCCTTGTCTACTGTTCCTCAGTCTTGAACAAACTTAATAGTCCATAAATACAGGGGACAAGGTTCACCTCAAAGAATCAATAAAATAAAAAAGAGAACAAGGAGATACCATACTTACCTATCAAAATAGCAAAGACTAGGGAAAAAACTCTAATGCTGGCCAGGGTGTAGTGAGAAGAGAGGTGTACATGCACACACACGCACACGCACACACACTAGTGCCTATAAACACTGATGTAATCCTTCTCAAGGTCATCTGGCAATATATAATAAGGAGTCTTAAAAAGATTCTTATTGTATGGCCTGGTGATCCACTTACAAGAAATTATTTTTTTAAGAATTATTTAATTTTATTTATTCATCCATTTATTTTAATTTGACCAGAGAGAGAGAGACAGAGAAAGAGAGAGGAAAAGTGAGAAAGACCTGGTAAAGCCCAGGACTCGAACCATGGTTGACGAGCTGGTCCCAGAAATTATTCTTTTTAAACGAGCTACAAGAGGGAGTGGCAGGTTGTGTGATGATTAAGGTGCTGGACTCCTGCATGACCCACTGTGGTTCAAATCCCAGATCTAGCGGCTTACTTTCTTGCTTTTCCTTTCTCTCTCTGTCTCTCTCTGGTCAAATTAAAAATAAATAATAACAAATAAAATTAAATAATTCTTTGTAAAAAATAAAAGAGTTGCAATAAAAATAGTGTATGCACGAGGTTGTTCATCACTGCTGTTTATCACATAGAAATGTTGGAAACTTAAGGTCCCAGCAATAAGGAAATGTTTAAATTATGTCATATGCATAGAGTGAAACACAACCATTAAAAATTGTTCTTGGAGAATGTTTTAATGATGTGAAAATGTTTACAATATAAAGCTAAATGAAAGAATGGATGCAAAAACTTGTACATACAATGTACATACTTAACTTTATGTGCATAGAGAAGAAACATACCAAAAAGTTTATAAATGATTACCTGCAAGTGGTGGAATTATAAGCATTTTCTTCTTTATACTATCTGCATTTTACAGTATATATCCATTCCTTTTATTGAGTTATTGGAAAAGTCATGACACCGTTTTGCATAGAAAAACACGTCGTGACTTTTCCAGTGAACCAATATAATCAAGGGATGGAAATCAACGAAAGCCTATAAAAATCTATAATTGCTTCCACAGTCCCCTAATCCCCAACCCAGACTTCCCTGGGTCTTAACCTCACACTTGAAAGTAACCTGTTCTTCAGGCAACCCCCTAAATTGATCTTGAGCCCTTAGGAATTTTGAAGATATTGGGCTCAGGAATGATTTTTTTTAATCTCAAAGTTGGTCTGGTCCCTTTGCCCAATGGTTGTGGGGACTGATCCCATAATGCCAACTGTGTGGATGGATCTTGAACCTGGCAGCTTGAGGGGCATGCTGGGCACATGTGTGTGCATGCCCAAAATCCTGAATAGATGGAGAAATAGTGAAGGAATTGCCCATGTTGACCATGCCCACTGGCGGCTGCTTTCTTCTGCTCCCTCCCTCTGGCAAGTGCAAAAGCCCTATGGCAAATGTTTTTAAAATCTCAAAATTAAGGTAAACATCATGTAACTATGTAAAACATCATCTATATTCTGATAAGATGCAAATTTTTATATAGTTTCAAGGAGTGGTGTCTTGCATTGAACTGGGCCTCTTTAGCATTCCCCTTAATTCAGACCTATCTGCCTACCTAACCTGCCAATAGGTGGCAATCCCTGCCCTCCACCCAGCTTGGGCAAACCAGTTCCTTAGTACCTTTATGCTCCTCCCTCACCTCCCCTGCAGCACACCCTTCACTCTGTAACCCTCCCCTATTTCCAGGCCAGCTGGTGTACTGTGGCTGCTAGGAAGCCAGCCCTGATTACAGCTAAGCATCCATCCCCCCACCTACTCAACCCCAGCAAGAATCTCAGTGGGGGTTCATTGTCTATATAGAGCAGAGCTTGGGAAATGAAGGCGTGAGTCATCCTGTGGCCTGGGTTTTTATGAGCTGAGACCTTTATGTTGTGCTGAGCATCTGGGATCTCCTCAGCTCAGAACACAGCATCCTCCCCTCCTAGCCTATTCACCAGATGGTTCCTTGACTGATCCTCCCAGAACCCCAGGCCTCCAGTGTCAGGGTACTCGTTTCCCTGAAGAACTGCTTGCATTCGATTCTGGCCCTAGTGATGTCAGCCTCCATAGGCCAGACCGATCTTCAGATACTAAACCTAGGAGAGAATACCCACGC